GTGAATCCAGAATCTCTAACTTGAGCACTGAGAAAATAAATTTCTCCATGATTCTGGACGATGCCTTAAAATCATATAAAATACGAAAAAATGGGAAAAATTCACGGTAAAGATGGGGTATCAAAGAATTTTTCGGTTATAAACTAACCAAACTATACGCACGGTTGGTTTACCATCCATATGTCAACATGTCGGAAGCATCGCGAATCGAATGCATTTCACGGTTGTACGACTACGAAAATTGGCTGGGGACCTACCAGTGGAAAATATGTACATCCAATAAAAAAAAAAGAGTAGCCAGAAAAAAAAATGTCAGTGTTCTCCGGTAACCATTCCTTTTCAAATCTAATATCGGATATTTTTGTGGATAATCGCGATGCAATAACAAAATCACGTACAATGATGAAAGATAAAATATTGAAGTGCAATGTAATTGTAAATTTTTATTGCGATCGATAAATTCTTCCATCTTGGGTAAGAATTTACCGAGTGACTGCGTGTACAAAAGCCATTCAAGGATTCTAGAGGGAAAATTTGTATTGCATGTTCATTGTTCACTCTTGCCTGATAGGCATGCAGTCTGGATGGATCGCGTGATTCACCTTAATTGGAGTCACATTAATTACAATGAGCCAACAATTACCGGGTAACCGAGAATTGATAACCCAGCGTATCCAACCCAGACTGATTGGATTATCTCTGCGATCTTGGGAAGGCAGTTCACATGAGCCATATGAGTTCGTGATTTCTTTGGACGGATCTCCAATAGTTTTTTTTTTTCACCTGCTATCGACGTACTAATTACTGGATTAATTAAAGCCTTTTTATCGGTATAACTCATCCCCTTTGGTGCACTCTGAGGGACATTAAGATCACCCATCAATTGATAATTAATTCAATAATTGTCTCCTGTCAATTCATTCATTCGGAATTTACCGGAGAGTAAATTACTGTGAATGTACTGAAGGTAATTGACAGGTAACTTGGCGGTGAACATTCATGTTGCTGGTGAAAATTCAAATGAGTCGGACAATTCTCATATTTGCACTGCTCAAGAATTTGGAATGCTATCGCATTTTCAGTAGTAATATCACAAGTGCTTCAAAATTATCCGATAAATACCCGGTGGAATTCTGGGGCGCGAGTGGTATTTATCGGAGTATTTCTTTTACCTGGACTTTGGTGGGTCGATGTGTGACATTTTTAAGACTAATGAACTGGCAGCGATGGAGTAAAACAATATTAAGATTTTTAATAATTCTCCATGTATTCATCACACCAGCGATTAAAAATAAAAATAGTGAAGAACATTTTTTGGGTTGATTAAATTTCTGGCAGAAAGTCTCCCGACCATTTCTCCAAATATTAAATAATATTAAATTCAGACACCATCTTGCTTTATTTTTTGGAAATCCGCAGATTTTAAAAATTTAAATCCTCTCGTTCCCGCCCGCGCCCTCCAGTTTTTTGAATTCCATTAATTCTCAATTCAGTGACATAATTGCACCAGAAATAATTGATTTCCAATTTATCAAATTATTTAACGATAATAAAATCCGAAGTCAGGTGAAGTCGATCCTCCACCCCATCCCAGCGATTCCCAAATCTCCGAAATTCCCCCCAAAAAAAAATTCACCCACGAACCCCGATAACCGTCAATAAATTGTTACCCCCGCCATGATATTCCCATATTAAGTCAGTTCCCGCTGCATTTGACAGTATACACTCGGCAATTTTTTTCCTCCATTTAATTTGCTCAAACGAGGTCAGGAGCGTCGTAAAACCGTTTACCGTCGTGAGTATATGTACTTGAACTCCAGTACTCGCACATACGCACACCCTCTCCCAGCAACATACATGGCAGAGCTTATTACCGTGCATGTACCAGTAAGTACTGACACATCCTATTTTCTGAAGAAGCGAATAAGACCAACATCATCAAAATCACGTTACACTGCATGAAGGCCAATCCATCTCCCTGAAGACTCGCCAGGAACCGCTATACTGAAAAAAAAAGGTATTGGATGTATTGAATACCGTGAAAGTGTCCTACAGGGAAAAAAAAAATGTTTCACCACGAGCCAGATGGTTTGTCGTGACATAAGTTTTTCAAATTGTACGTACGAACTGTGGAAGTGGTTGTAAAATAAAGATAAAAGCCCGAGAGGAAAATGGTAGCAATGAGGGGTAGGGTATGGAGGGATGAACTTGATGCCACAGTCGTAACGCAACACTTGTGCTCTACGGCTTAAGTTTCATAATACGACTTCTCGCTTGGTTCAGCAAACTGCGCTACGCCGTTGGATACAAGAAGCATCATATAATTTGCATATCGTCAGAGTTCAACAGCTACTCCAAGGTTGAATAGACCTTGGTCTAACGTTAACTCCTCCACCTATATAAAATTTTACCCACCCGAGGTGCGTTGTATATCCTGTTCTGGTTAGTTCCCTTGTAACTTGATTAATCCAATGTTGTTTTGACGATATTTGTTCAACTTGTTGGGAGTGGGAAAATTCAACGTCGACCAGAGGTGGGGTAGACAGTGGGCATATTTGCAAGTCAATTCATACAATTGGATTATTGTTGAAATTGCTGTGGATGAAAGTAGGAGGTTCATAAAAGAGATTCTCTCTTTTACATCGAAAATTCTATTAGCATTGTGAAATCATTATAACGTAAACGACACACTCTCGCAGACTGTTTATTTTCATGGAATGCATTTTTGTTGGATCATAAAAATGAGTCGTAAAGAATTGTACGGTAGAAAAATCATGATCATGTGATAATTCGATTCATTCTACCAAGTGAACTAGACAGTCCAATAATACCCAATAATTTCTTCATTTTTATCTGCTCCATGATAATAATAATAATGGATCTAGCCCAGGGAATAAATTCTAGTGGAAGTCGTGGAGATAATTAATAGATTACCCATTCACGTTAAAAAAAATTGTGCAAAAGTACAGAAGTAATAATTTCCAAGGGCAAATTGCTAAATCTTCAACTTGGATGATTCGAGTAATGAACTCAGATCAATAATAATGAGAAAAAAAAATAAATACATAAATAAAAAAATCATAGAAGGTGTTTTGCACAATTTTACACTTTTCCTTGAGGACGGGGACAGGCTTCCCTCTGCGATCCATATCAATTTGGCTTTTGGCCCCTCACCGAAATTCTCCAGAACCTTTTTTTCCTCAATGACAATGCGATTCAATTCCTTGGATTTTGAAGGGCCTTGACCTCACGTAGAGGACATTGTCACGTGCCCTCATCCTCGTTTTTGCCGCCTCCAGGGATGGAAAGGTTGATAGGGTTCCACTCGGGGTTCTAGCCCAGTGGCGACCCTCATCCATATACATCGAGAAAATTAATATCTCTAGCTTCGCTTGCGCACTGCATAAACTTGAGTTCAGAGACACGACATAAGACCTCTTCGGTTTTACTCTCCTGCCCTGAGGAACCAGGTGTGCACACCAACTCGACCTTATCCATCATTTTTTTTTTTTATTTTCCCTCATCCTTTCGACTAACCTTCTCCAACTACTACCACCTCCTGGTTTTCTTGGCTTTTATTCATCTCTCTCTGCGTGTACCTTAAACTTTTTTCTTCCACTTCTGTTTTCAACTGAGAAATTCCCTGGAATAAATTCGAAAACTTTTACCCCGGCTGTATCACTATATCGCTGAATGAAATACGTCGCTACACGTTGAGGATGATCTCGAATGCTATTTGATATTAGTATAAATTTATCTTGTGACATCCCAGACATTGTCGAGTGAAACTATTCATAGCGAAAAATATATGAAATAACTCATGAATATAAAGATATGAGAGCCAGTTTCGAGTCGAGATATCGTATGCAGGGGATATTTTCACTGGTGAAGAGGTTGGACGTAATGTTATGCTTCGTATGTTGATTAGACTTGGTTTCTATTCTAGTGTGATGCATGCAGACTATTTCAATGTCTTACTCGTCGGAAAATTGAAGATTTTGTTCAAGAGTTGTCATGAATATCATTGAACTACTTATGAAGAAATTTTTTACGTGCATTTCTCGAACTCTCCTTTTTCTTGTACCAAATTTCTCAGGGTAAATTCAGGTGCTCGTACAAGAATTATTTCATAAACCTCGAGTGGAGATAATTTCAGTCAAGTGACGGTTAAAATCGACAGTACCTGGAATTATGACGGTAATTATGGGAAAAATGGGTTCCACTGGACGACTCCTGATTGAAAAAATGCTGATTAGGATGACCACTAATCAATAACTATTTAACGTCAGACAAATCCCTTCGTTGAACGTCGACGAGGGAGATTTATGGGGCAGACTCACTAACTCCACCGTTCTCCCTTTATTCTGGTGCATCACTATACGGGTATTTACTCGTCCGGTCGTTGCCAATCCTAGTAAGCATTGAGTGCCCATCAAGCCGAAGGCAGATGCATAATTCCAGAATATATCAATCGCCTCCATCTCTCGTACCATCTCCAGGGCTTCGAATCAATGCTGCTGTCTGCGTGTATCGGTAAGCATCGCACTACCCAAACGGCTCGGTACTATTACATATTCATGTTTATATTCAGTTTCATCTGCAGTGTATGATGAGTAACAACCAAGGCTCGATTGGCGTTTATGGGTGTCTCTGCTATATTATCTATATCTCGATGATTGAAAATTCAGAGTGCGACCTTTGAATATATCAGTAATCCCCGTATTTACGGGTCTACTCTCCCAGAAATAGGTACAGATTAATTACGATTGAGAATTCGCATTTTACATCAGTCAAATCATCAAGGCATTTTTCTTATTGAAGTTGAAGCGTTAATTATTCTCCCAATTTTCTGGAGAGTTATTCATTTTTTTATTCTTGCTCATTTTCGAGCTGAAAAATATTCCCAGAAAAATGAGGAAAAGTGAAAATGGAATGAAGGTAAATTGTTAAGCAAAGACGATTTGTTTTATCAGTGTAATGAAATAAATGTGAAATTTCAGGAAACAGCAATTTGGAATTGTTCGATAGTGAAAGCGGACCAGACCTTACACTATCACCTCAGACATTCACGTCAACAGCGGAAGCCTTTATCAACGACAATAGTGATAGTCTTGGGGTGCCTGGTGACAACGACATGGGTAAGTAACTCTACCTTTTATCCGGTATTTTGCGGTATATCTTCGTGGATAATATCCAGCTGAGAAACAGACAGATCAACATTACTTCCTTTATCCTATTATTCCACTTTTTTCATTGGTCCTATTCTGAGACCTGATACTCTTGTCTCAACTATTCGCTTTGTCAGGTGGGGAGGGAGTTTACCGACAAGGCTTTGTCCCCCACCAGGGTGGAGAATTTCGAGTAATAAAAACGAATGGAGGGAGTGAAATCGAAACCGAGAGATTGCTAGTAAAGCCGAAGACGCATTCTGCTTCGAGACAGTGGGACAGCGTTCATCCCTGGATTTTCGAATTTAAGACCAGCCAGTCCCACCGCAAATTCATATCCACCGAATTGGAGATACTTTCAGATATCGACGTAGTTTTGCCATTTGTCCGTTTAAATCCTTCTACTGCAGTGCTTTCTGCAGAACTCGAAAAATAAATCCTCTAGGAGATCCCATTCCCTTGGATTATGACTTTGATTTCAATTATTTTTCAAAGTTCGGATTTTCATGACTATCAGGTTATGAGATCATTTCAAAAGTTAACTTCATTCCAGGATTCATCTCAAAATTTTAAATTCAATATCACCTCGCATTATTCTCAATTAAAATTACACTTATTCAAGTTTCGAGAAATTTATAATGGTGCATCAATAAAAATCAGTGCCTTCCAATAATTCTCTCCTTTTGAATTTGAATTTTGACAAAGTGGGATTTCCAGTCTAGTTGAAAAATGCTCTCAATCCCCTCAAGCTGGCAATAATTGCATTACCTGGTCTCTTTTGATTAATCCCTGCATTTAGAGATGTGACTGTATTCCGAAATTTCGTATTGTGGTGGAGGATTAGCTTATGAAAGCAAGTGATGACCCTCGTCCTTGTTATAACAGATTTTCCACTCTGGGGTAATTCAATTGTTCTTGATGGAGTTAGGCATGCGGGGTGGGTAACGAGGTGAATTTCAACTCCGTTTTAAAACCTTTCGGAGAAAAAAAAGATTGGTGGAATAAATCCGTGATGAACCGCAAAGATTACACCGTCGATAATTTTCAAAATTTCATTGCTTCAATTATTTAATTAATCACTTTCGTTCTGTAATTTCCAAATGATTCCACCACCGAGTGTTGCAGTGTAAAAAATGTAATGGATTTTTATCAACGTCAAATAGCGCACATTCCTTCACACTGATTTCAACTCATCGACGACAAAACAAGAGGTATTGGAGAGCCCCTGGAGGCACTAAAAATTAATTGCTATCGAGCGGTCTTTCACTTTTTTCGATTGAATGAGGAATCCTATTGTCCGCACAACATCGCAGTCGGATTGGTGGATGAAAGAGTGAGCTCTAATTTCTACCTCTTGCGCTCCTTTTTTTTTCTATTGTAACGAAGAAACAAAGCAATTGTCCGAAGAAGACTTATTCACTAAGACGGAGATGTACGATAGAATAAGAGGCGAAAAGGGAGATAAATGCCAGAAAGTAGCGATGTGGAAGCTATAGTAGTGGAGAAAGATTTATTATATTCTTGAGCCGAAGCAATTACTGGAAGCCAAGAAGTTTCCAGCTTCCTTCTATCATCTTCTAATCTTCTATTTTCATCTGGTGTCATGTGTGGAAGCTAGATATGACACAGGCATGATGCAATAATATTCCATTTCGCAAAACCAATAATTGCTTCTGATATTGTTTACAGTAATTCATAAAATAATTTGTAAATTAATCCAGCGTATGGAATAAAATAAAGTCTTCTTTTTATGAATTTCATCCTTTGCATTCTCACTTTTATTTTTTTTTCCCCGTAGACTTTGAAAAATGATTTTATAGAGGAAGTTCACTTCTGTACTCCCCGTCGATGAATTCATCAGGACTTCACAATTTTGCATATCACCGTGTTCCAACAGTTTTTTTTCCTCTCATAAAAGTGAACGAAAAAACAATCCGGGGGATAAAACCCAAAGGCAATTTTTTCGACAACTAAAAAATTCAGGAATTCCTGCAACACGACCATAACGATCGTCGCCACGAGTATGCACAATGAAAGATAAACAAATATCTTTCGGCATTTTGTTTCTTTTACATCTCCATATTGAATGACGCGGAGAATAGATCAGGGAGACTGACATATTTGCTGTACAACGTGTGCTACCGACGGGTTTTTATCGTTTTTCCTACCGAAGGTTCGTGCGGGGTGTCCGAAAATTCATATTGAACAGTCGCCACTTACCCCCGAAAATGATATTGAAAGAAATAAATCCTTCCATGATCCAATCGAATAAACAGAATCGGCAGAACGATCGAAACCGCGCGAAGGATTGAAAGCGAATAAAAATTTTATTTTTCACTTCCAAACCTTTGGAAATATTGGAAATTTGTGTCAGGAGTTAAATGAACTTCGAGCTTCGAATAAATCTAATTAAAATAAAATGCTCCAAAATACAGAGCTCTTCAAATTCCTACACATGTCATACTTTCTTCGATTTATTTCGAGAATTTCTTCAATTTCGTTTTGTTACTCACCCTATCTACCCAGCATCCCATCGTCCACATCTGCCCACCGAGACAAACTTTTCCATGTAGGTGTAAGCCAATAACCCCCGTGTCGCCCATTGTTTTTACAGCGAATAACCATTTCCCACTGTTGTCATATAAATTTAAAGAGAAATCTGTTTTACCCATCGAGTACCGCGAGTTTCAAGTACCCTGCGCCTCAGGTGCACCCCGAAACGACGCACTAATCTCGCCGTCATGATGGCGCAGTGCAAAAAGCTCGTAATATTTTTTATATACCAGTGATACATTCAAACCCACGAATGTATCAAAATTTTAGTGCAGCATCCAACCGGCAGAATTTCATGGAAAGTCCCTGGCTCCGAACGAATCCCCCCCGCAAACCGCGAAGTAAAAAAAATGGGGTTGAAAAAAAAAAAGTGGAGAAACCGGGAATACAAGGAACGGGAGAACAGTGGTGAATAAAAAAAAAAATTGTGGAGAGCTCCTTGGAGAGTTGTTGAAGGGCTGCATCTTATACATGGATGAAAGTACGTAAAAACTTTTCGACTCATATATACGGCTCAAATGGAGACTATTCAGCTCGTACAATGTACTGGTAATACGATTTGGTGGGTACCAAGCCTTCCGCACTGACTCCCAGTGGCTTCTATTCATGTGGACCTTCAATACACTCACACGTAGATGGCTCATCTTCTCCGATGTGGCTGGACGTTATCAGAAACGAACCATCAAATAGCGTGCGCAATGCGAATTCGCCAGTGGCTTTTATCGTCGCGTATCCACCGGGGGCTATCTATGCTAGGCATTGAAAACTGGGGCTATTTTCATTGGACAGTTGTATTACTGCATTGAGCTTTTGTCCGTGCCCTCCGTACCGAACGATTCAGCCACTCATTACAATTATTTATCAAACCGAAACGCAGGTGTTCTCATCCATGCACATATTGAGAAAAAAATATTATTCTGGTTAAATCATGAACTTTTGATGATTTTATTAATCAGTCTTTAATTTGATTAGTCATCATTCACATGACGACTGATATTTCCAGATATTTCTCCAATTAAAATTCTCATTATAATCAACACATTGTTTCAGAGGATGATTATGTCGGATTTATTCTTGGATAAATGATAATTATTGATTACGATTGTTCATTTTTCATTTCGAATTTTCTGAGGATAAGAAACCCGCGGAATATCAATGATTATTATCTTTAATTATCATTTGAATGAGGAAAATACGAGAGTCGAGTGCTTGCCGGTGAAGTACGTGTAACGTGGAAACGACAAAATGTTCAACCCATTGAAATTTAATCCACCAAGCGGTGGTAAACGAGGAGGTGGTGTAAAGAGCACAATGGGAACCTAGGGAAAATGGCGGTGATATAATCGGTTATCGGGAGCTATATAACCGTCGTATACTACAGTTGCACGGTGCAATCATTAAATAAAAATGGGAAATGGGTGTCTTTGTCGCGGAGTGTGATGACGTCGAATGAGTTCGTTGACATTTTCATGAAAGACAGCAGGACATTACGAAATAAATCGAGATGTTTCCGTTTGTTGTGAATTATATTAATCCGAGAGGCGAGAATTAAAGAGAGTTATGGGAACACTGGGTTGTGTTCAACTTACAGAATATCCGAGGTACAAATGACACCGAATATCAAAGTTTCATTGTCCCATTCATTACGCTCATTCAAAACTTTGCCAGTACAGTACCAACTGTTGCCGTTGAACATTGTATAACACGGTAGGAGTTATCGTAATGACCACGAATTGCTCTCCGCTGTACACGTATACGTCATCCAAAATTTTGTGATGTATTCAGAATTTCAAGCGGTTTACACACTTCAAAATGTAAACGTGAATTACGTTTACGAAATTTCAATCGCATAAAATTTTTTACCACGTCAATTTATTCACTAATCGAAATTGAGACGATCAGTTAATTTCTCCAGGGAATTCAATTTCTATTTCAATTTATTCTAGTGTTAACAAGATTATAATGAGATACGAGAGTGTGATGATGAAATCGCTCCCCTATAAATAATCTGTTATTCAAAATATTTCCCCCAATCATTAAAAAATCGTTAAACCTTACGAAAATAGAATGAGAATTTAACTTGAAATGAGAATTAAAATTCTCTCCTCGTGAAAAAAGTCAACATGCGCTAGTGGAATTTTTCCGTCATCTTCAGATGGCGTTTAAAAGTGACTTTGACAAATGGTAATAGGACCAACTTGAAAACCGATGATGCAGCTGTTGCCATCGATCACCTGAACATTCTTCAAAAGCTATGACGTAATGCAGATCTTAATTCTCAAAAGTTTAAAAAATTCAATTTTTATGTGCAGTTGGCCATGAATAAAAATATGTCGGACAGTCTCGACACTATTCCATCCTCGCAATAAATTTCATCCCCTCAATTCGCAGTGTTCACTCCATAAAAAATATATTTT